AATTGAAGGCATTGAAATCAGGCCAAATTAGCAGGACAGGACATGATTTTCTTCCACCCTATGTACTTTATGTGTGGGAAAACATTGCTCCTCGTGTTAAACTATGATTGTCATGCACTAGTTTTCGTATATACGAGTTCTATTGTTATCTAGAGGCGGTCTTTGAATAATTATTTGTACAATTGATGCCTAATCTATAGAGTTAAATTACTAGTTTTGATTTGATTTAGGGAAGGGCACTTTTAGGAGTTACTTAAGTCGGTAAGGAAGAGCATTTCAAGAATACTTGATTTTTTTGAATTCAAAACACAAGGTGAGCTCTATATATGTCTAAATGTAATATGAGGGAGCCCTTCGTCCTGAGCATGGAAGCTGCCATTGGAGTCATTGTGAGAGATACTAGGGGATTAGTGGTTCGAGGACAGGTGCTATTCTTATTCAAGCTTCTTCTACTCTTCTGATTGATGCTTTGGAAACTAGCTAGGATTGAAGAAGGCATAAAGTGAAAACCACACCAACAATACAGCGAAGGCTAATTCTAAATTGATAGTTAAAATTAGAGATTAGATTCTACACTTGTGATTAAGAGTACAAATAATTTTATCATTAGATTATTGATTTCAACACATTACAAAGGTTGGTAGGGGGTTATTCACTGGTAAGAAAAATAAAAAAATAAAAACAAAAGACAAAACAAAACGAAAGGAGTTGCTCATTTGATTGCTTTGACATTCCGTAAGGGGATGTGCATTGTCACTTGGATTTCTAGGTAGGGGTGGGCAACTGGGCATTGCTTATCACGCTATGCCAACCACATTGTCATGTTATGTGTCAAGTCAGTGACATGGCATAATGATAAGCATGTTGATTTTTAGTCACAATTAGTAATTATTAATTTATCTTGACATATGAATAATAAAAGAGGTCCATTAATGTCTATTTTTTTTAATATTTTTAAGGTTAATTAAAATTTAAAAGCATATAATTACATTTTTAAGATAAAAGACTTAATTTAAAGTTATTTTATTCAATTTATGATCTATCAATTTCACTTGAGATTTTTTTATTGTAAATTAAATTTTTTTCGAAGTGAATAATACTTCAAATTTGCAAATGAAAAATAGTACGAAATGAATTTGGCAAGTATTTAAATGGTAATTGTAGAAGATTTTTATTGCTAAAAAATTTTATCATGTATCCAATTATTAAAAAAAATATCTTGACATGATATTAGTAAGGAAAAATCGTTGCCAAAAATTATTGCCAACCAAAAAAATCACCGGGTAAGGTACCCTATCCCACCGGTGCCCGCCCCAATTTCTATGCCACCCTCCTCCTGGCGGGAATTTTTCTAGGGATGGATCTCCTCACAAATGGATGTTTAATTTGGATTCCTTACATTTTTGTCACTTTCAGAAATTGTGTTATTAAATTTCATTTACCTAATGAAGGTACTTCTATTGCATGACTAGAGTTTCTTTTATTAGACATTTAGTATTGGATCTTACGCTGCACTAAATTAATTTTTAAATTAAAGTAAATCTATTATTATTAAGAGTTATTTTTTATTTAAACATGATAAAAAAATTAGACTCTTCTTTTATACTCTTTTACTTCCTTTATTTTAGAATAACATATTTTTTATTTGAAATTTGTTCTAGAACAATAGTAGTTTTTTTTTATATTTTAAAGAAGATGAATATTTTTATTCCATTTCCATGTAGTTCCGTCCTTTTTTAAGAATATACTTACCAGAGGATTATGGTCTTGGTGGTGATGTAATGATTAATGATGGTTATATCCTTCCCATGTGGTATGTGGAATGTGGGTTTGAATATTTTATACGGGTGATGAAGTATTGTTTTCCGTCAATAGTTTAATTAATTATTTTACAAGTTTTTTTTTTTTTAATCTAGTGAAAGTATTTTAATGTTTTAAATTATTCTTATTTATTAAAGGTATTTTTTATACTTTCATTACCAACTTAAAAAAAAAAAAAACCATTCTCACATGCAAAAAAATAAAAATTAAGATATTTAAAATATCATGACATATGATATATACCACATGATAAATGAAACTTATAAAACTTATACTATATCTCATCTATTTTCCTTGTCGGAATTAAAAATTTTGATTTTTTTAATCACAAAATATCTATTATATTTTTTAGAGGTGAGTAGATACAATTACATACAAGATTTTGATACAGAATACTTTTTCAAGTATTGATAATCTATCCCTATTATCTAACCTGCTAGATATAGATATACCAACAAGTATATTTATATGCTCATTGAATATTGTAACATTAGATACAAATTAAAATATAATTAAACATATTTCAAACACATACTTTAGTTCACATAAAGTACATATATATAAGAAAATACATGAGTTCATACTTATAGCAAAAAATATAAGTTAAAACACAAATCCATACATATAACATAATTTACAAAGACATACACTTATACATATAAAAGTTTATATATATAATAAAATATATACAAACACAACTCCATAAAATCTTTCTTTGTTAGAGTTTTTCTTGTAATTTTATGACATTATATTACAAAATTGAACCTAAAACTAATATATGACTATTATATATCTAACATTTACTCAACTCTACATTTTGATGAAAAAAAAAAAAAAAATCAAGACAAAGACTTGACTCTTAACTCTTCC